CATGGCACTCTAGCCTGGGCAAAAAGAGTGAGACTCTGTCTCAAAAAAATCAATAAATAAAATAAAAGACTAGGAAGACATGAAAAAGAATTATATGTAACTTTAAAAATGGAAAATACATTTATTTATTGACATTTAAAAATAAATAAATAGCTTAAACATTCTGCTGGAGAAGCAGATTAAACACAGTTCATGAGAGAAGAAATGATTTGGAAGACAATATAAGGAAATTATCTATAGCGTAGCATGATGGATGAGTTTGGGCAAATCAGGAGAGAGAAATCACAATGTAAAGAATTATTAATTATAATGGGAGATTGGAGAAATGAGTGATTGGCTAGTAAAAAGTAAAGAGAACGCTAACGAATATAGGAGAAGCATATAAAAGGAGCATCCACCACTCTTAGGGCCCAGGTAGAGCACTCAAGGAAGAGCCCCATCCTTACCACGGCCAAATTCCAGACTTTACTGGGAGGACATAGCCGTGTCTCACTGGATGACAGAAGAGTTGCTGTGCTCCCACACCGGTACAACTCACTGAACATACACCCTCTGGAACATGCCGGAAATCTGCCCTCTAAGGTTGCCAAGGAAGCTTTTCCTGGGAAAGTGTCTTACTGGAAGCACTCCATTACAAAACTGCCCAAGGGGGAGGTTTCTGGGAAAAGCTCCTGGCCAGTGAGTGCTAAAGAAGCTGCTGGAATGGCAGGAGCCTGGGCACTGGAGAAGCAGCCATGCTGTGGGAGCTGAGCAGCGGAGGAGCTCACCAGAACCAGGAATGCAAACCCCTTTCCTCCTGCAGTGTCTCTCCAGCGTCCTCTACTGACAAAGCTTAACATCACACTGACTGTCAGAGGAAAAAATATGTGAAGAGCTCAGATCGTTTTCCTTAGAGCAGGCAAAAGGTTTGAGAGGTAATAAATTTGGAACAGAGGGGCAATAAATCAATAACCTATACAATGGAATATATATATATATATATATATATATATAAAATTTAGAAACAAGGAGGATAGCGTGATAATGTCTTACATATATCTAATAGGTGTTCTAGAAGAAGAGACTGCAGAGAATAAGGGAGATGCACTTTGAAGAGGTATTAGCTGAGAATTTTTCAGACATTATGAAAAACATGAAACCTCAGATTCAAAAAATACACCTTGGCAGGATAAAATAAAACTAAATCCACTCCAAGAAACATCCTGGTGAATTGCAGATACACCAAAAAATAGATGATAATACAAGCAACTGAAGAAAAAGACCTACCTAAAAAGGAATTAGGATAATTCTAACTTCAGGCTTTTTAAAAACAGCAATAGAAACTAGTAGTCATTGAAATAAAATTGCCAAACTTACGAATATAAAATAATGTTACAGTTCCTAATTGAAGATGCTCTGTTGACAGATAAAAACTGATTCTACAGGACAAGCAAACTGTTTAAGGCTGAAAAAGAAAAGATTTGTAGGTTGCCTAATAGCCAGACATGAAAATAAATTATCTGAGAGTTGATAAAAGAAAGAAAAAAACACACTTGGTTAACAGTAAAACCTAGAGCATACTCACATTTAGAGGAAGGTTGGAGGAAGAGAAACTGGCTTACAAGTATCATAGAAAAGGAAATAATTTTAGTAAATAATGACTGGTCTAAGTTTCAAACTTGATAGAGAAGTGTGAAAGGGTGAGAATGGAGAATAAGCAATTAAGTTTTATTTTTGCTAAATTATTTAAAATTTCATTGCAAAAATGTTCTCTATTATAAAGAAGTTTGATTCTCTTTTCCTTTTATACGTATCTTCACCCACTTACCCTGTGACAAATTTCTATTTTCTTTTAAAAGGATGATGTTTCCTCACCAGGAGATCTTGTTATAGCAGATGGAGGTAAATTGCATTTACTTCTTTACTGCTAAAGTATTGTAAACTCATGTTGTAATGATCTATGAGATCAATTTTTAAAATATGTGTTTCTTCCTAATGATGTCAGAAATGTTTTGATTATAATTAAGTGGAGATAAATTTAATACAGAAGGCCTCAGTTAGAAGAGTTTACAGTATTTAACTTCTCATTGATTCAGTTTGATTTTTAATTCATTTAAGTTCAAGTATTGAGTTTTTGCCAGCCAGTGTGATGTATCAGACCTGGAAATCTAAAAGTTGTATTTTCTGTGCAAGTGAAATTCCCTTTCAATAGATAATACTGTGGCTGTTTATTCCACTGTGTCCTACTTACTTTGAACTGCCTTTAAAGTTTGTTATGTTTTCTAGAGCTGTAATTAAAATAAAAAATTCTTTTATGATGAGAAATTTGGTTGTTTTTATCCCACATAATCAGATCGAAGAAAAAGGTTTTAAATTAGAGAAATTTAGCTACTTTTGTGAGCTTCATACAGTATCTCTTTAGTTTTAAAAATTATTATTAACATGAATTTATTTAAATATAGATGGTCAGCTGATGGAGGGTGATAAAATTTATTGGCCTACTCAGTCAGCTTTAACCACACGTTTGAGGCGTCTCATCACCGCATATCAGCGTACTAATAAAAACAGGCAAACTCAGCAGATACAACCAACTTTCTCAGTGCCTGCCAGTGTAATGCAGCCTCTTTACGAAGAAGCCACTCTAAATCCTAAAATGGCAGCCAAGATAGAAAGACAGCAGAGGTAAGACAATAGATATTTAGATATATTTTTAATATCTATCAATAGTATCTAAATATAGTCATTCATTCTAAAGACTGTCAGAGTGTGATTATCATGCTTTGTGAAAAACGTAAACGTAGAGAAGTACCAACTCATGTGTGCTTTGTGCACACAAACACATATACTTACACACTTATGTATGCATAAATATGGTAAAACTTATGAAGATTATTGCATCTTATAGTTATTAGCCATACTTTAGTCGTTCTTTGTCATGTTGAAATATTAAGAAAGGAAGGTGCAGAGCAAACTCAAGAATTGAATTATCAGTAGAACAGAAGTTTAAAATATATGAAATAAATTCCATTCTATTATATTTTACATTAAGACATTTATGAGATAGAAGAATGTGTGGAAGGCAAGTCCAACTCTGCTTTATGCGGAAGATGAACCCTAGAACTAGTGATGTGAAAGGCAACAAATTGCAAGAGATTGTTAAGAAGACCGGCAAACTGCTCTCATCTTATGAGCTTTAACTTCTTAAAAAGGATAGAGTACATGGAAAAGAATAGCATGTTAGCAATAACCTGGCCTCTTTGTTAAACCTGAGTCCTTGGATGTTTTCTGGAAGATAAATCATTGTTCATTTGCTGCACATTGATTGTGGCCAGGATTTAGTTAGTCTGAAACTTATGATTTTAGCTATCCTAGCCATAATTTTCAAATAATACTACCTGTGTAAATACACTGTTTCAGTTATCTATTGTTATGTAACAAACCACCCCAAAACACAATGACTTAAAACAGCGTTAATTTTTATTTCTCTTGATTCTGTGAGTTGACCAGGTGGTTCTTCTGTTTTATGTGCTGTTGGCTGGATTTCTGAGATAGCTGGAAGACTCAAAGTAGCCTCCCTCACATGGCTTGCAGTTAGCGCTAACTGCCAGCTAGGAGCTCAGATTCCAAGAGGGATCATTCCAAACAGCAAAGGCAGAAGCTGCAGATTTCTTGAGGCCCAGTCCCAGCAGTTACGAAGTGTCACTTCTGCCACTGACTGTTGGTCAGAAAAAGTCACAAGGCCAGCCCAGATTTAAGGGAAAGGGAAATAGATTCCATCTCTTAAGGGGAATAGTGGAAAAGAATTTGTGGCTATCTTTAATGTACTACATACATTTTCTCTCAGTCTGTCAAATCTGGATTAATCTTCCTAAAATACTAGTTTTATCATGGCATTCAATGATGACTCGTTATTTAGTGCAGTTATAAAGTCTTAGGTACCTAAGTTCTTCAGTTTAGGTTTTAGCATGCATTTCTAACTTTATCTGCTACTATTCCCTCAGCCAGAATGTCCTACTTATTCTTAACTCAATACCCTAGCTTATGTTGTTCCCACCACCTAGAATACTCTTCTTCCTACCTGTTAGCCACCTGGCCCATTTCCTGTATTCATTTTTTTAACCAATCAAGCTCAGTGTTCCCTCCATTTTCTTTACTCATACAGTGAGTTATCTAAAAACCTATTCATTTGTCACAATGAGGTAAGATATTGTAATGACATTCATCTTTTCTATATCTTGTCTTTCTAAGTTCTAAATACTTTTATGGTAAGCACTGTGTCGTATTTTTTTATGTGTCCTGTGTAATTTCAATTAAATCTTTTCCATTTTTATTGTTATCACTGAAGGTTTAATTTAAACTTTACTGGTTTCCCAGGCTATTTTTTACAACATCATTACATTAATCTTCTTAGTGTATCACTATGATAAAAATGGCCTATTGACACTTTTCAAAGGTCTTTCCCATATGCTTTTTCCCATTTACACAACAATCCTATAAGTTAAGCAAGGAAAAGTTTCTACAAACAGACTGAGGTTTGGAGATCTATGGTGTATGATACTAATATTACCCTCTTAAAATCAAGAGCTTTCACCTGAAGAGAGATTACTGAATGATTAGCAATTGGAACATTTCATAATCTGACCCAAACCTTCTCTCACTTTGTCTCCAGTATGAGCCATATTCTTGTCAATCTGGAATACTCATCATCCCCCCAAAATGCAGAGTACTTCTGTTCACTTATTCTGTGCTCTCTTCCTAGCATCCCCTCCCTAACCTTAGCCTTGTCCCATCTGAAATGCCATTTACTCTGTGATGCCTTTCTTGATTGCTCAAGTCTGAACTGATCCTTCCGTCTTCTGTGCTCTCCTAAAATCTTTGGTTTCTATAATTCTCATATAGCAATAAAATACTACCTAATACTGTAAATGTATTTGAAAATATTTTTGTCTTTTTTCATGAAGGGCAGGGTTATCTTATATAATCTTGTATGTTCGCTGTGCATATTTTCTCACATAGTAAAAATGCAAAAAACTATCATTGTCTGAAGGAACAGTATATACTAACAGAAGTATGGTTGGATAGATGAGTCAACTAGCATGTAAAATGTATTTACAAAGCAATAACCTTATATTTAGCCCTTTAAAGTTTTAGGTACTTGAAATGTTTTGGGTTTGTATCCTAGTCATTATATTCAGTATTAATAAATATTCATTTTAGTGACTAATGTGGTTTTCTCCTTCATCTGATTCAAAATAGATGGACGAGAAGAGAAGAAGCTGACTTTTACAGGGTCGTATCTACATTTGGAGTAGTGTTTGACCCTGACAGAGGCCAATTTGATTGGACAAAATTTAGAGCTATGGCTAGGCTGCATAAGAAAACTGATGATAGTTTGGAAAAATATTTGTATGCATTCATGTCCATGTGTCGGAGGGTTTGTCGTCTTCCTTCCAAAGAAGGTATGTAAGAAATTCTTTTTTTCTTGGTTCAGTAAAAGAAGCAAAATTACTAAAATTCAGAAATTTCCAATTTATCTCTTTTATGTGAAATTTCAATATGATCTAATTCAACTTTCCAGCAATTTTTTAGAATTGTAAACAAACTATGCCTAAAGATCCCCTATTCTTTAATTCTGCTGTTAAAATGAGACCTAAAGAGAATAAAGGTACCCACTGAGTTTTAAGAAAATAGCTAGTGTTTAGTGTAGATTTATGATTAGGAGCACATGGAAGATAAAAGACTGGTTTTGGTAAACAGAACTAACCTATATTTTGAGTCCATCTCATGAGGATTGTGCTAGAGGGATTAATTACCTGAATAATTTTGCAAGTTATGAGGCCCCCACTCAGAAGACATTTTAAAGAATTTTCTAGAAAAGATCTCCACCTAGGGCCATCTTCAAAAAAGACAACTAATCAGACATGGTGTTGCAACTCAGCTAAGGAACTGTTCTGGGATGAATTTCATTGTCTTCGAAGCCCAGAGAAATAGCTCATCCTGTCAGCAATTCCTCCTGGTAATGCTGTTATAAGCTATTATAAGTTGGCTCCATTCTTAGTTGAATATGATTGCTGACTGTTAAACCCAGTGGCCTCCTATTCCTATTTTGTAGTAAAAAGATAAGTGGTTTATAAAGGACTTAAATTCCACATGATTTTCTTTACTTGTTTTAATTTTATTTACTAACAGATTTGTTGTCAGTACACTGAATAGAGTAGCCAATCACTTAATTACCCAGATACCAGGTAATTTGGGGTAGGTTTCTGTCTGCTTTCAGGTCTGTTGAAATACTATAAATGGGGTTAAGAAGACAAATAAACGAAGTATTGCATCTTTTGTTATTTGTGGTTGTCGAGAGGCCCTCGTTTCTTTTTTTTTTTAATTTTCTTAATTCCCATCACCAATATAGAGATGTGAATAAATTCATCACTTTTGATTCTAGTTTTAAAGGGGAAAGGATTAATTACTAAATAATCGTTGAAAGGTAGGGCTTCCTTATTAGAAATGTGAGTGAGGAGATTCAGAGTGGGGGCAGTGACAGTGTTGCTCAGGTCGGGTCCCCACTGGAGGAGGCTGCGGGTAACCAGAAACAGATGCTACCCTGTATGGCCAAGTCGCCAACAGGTGCATCGGCGCAGAGACAACACTGCAAACAAGGCATAAAGTTGAGTGTTAGAAAGCTACTCAACAGACATCATATTGTGTTTGGTGATTACACATGGACCGAGTTTGAACCTTTCTGACCAGAAATGTGCAGTCTGTGTCTATCGTTGACACTGAAGTAAAGATTACGGACCCATAGCCTATTGAATGCGTGCACTATTGCATTTCACTTCTTTCAGCTGAATGAAATAGGCCCCAGCAGTGAAAATTCGGAGAAAGAGACAGAAAATATAATTGCAGCAAATCACTGGATTCTGTCTGCAGCTGAATTCCATTAGGCTTTGGGACAGCCTAATGTGTGATGTGGAGGTCAAATCACACCTCCTTGGTTATGTGATGACAACCTTACTGTTTCAGACAAGAATGTTCACAGCAACTTCACCACCTAGAACCAGGTGGTGCTGCTACAACACAGTTCTTCAGGAACTGGAAAAACATCCCTGTGTAAAGCATTAGCCCAGAAATTGACCATTAGACTTTCAAGCAGTATGGCCAATTAATTGAAATAAATAGTCACAGCCTCTTTTCTAAGTGGTTTTCTGAGGGTGGCAAGCTAGTAACTAAGGAGGTCCAGAAGATTCATATTTGATTGGTGATAAAGATGGCTCTGGTGTTTGTGCTGATTGATGAGGTGGAGAGCCTCATAGCTGTCCATAATGCCTACAGGGTGAGAACCAAGTTACCAGATAACGTTGGCATGGGCAATGCAGTCTTGACCCAAATTGACCAGATTAAAAGGCATTCCAATGTAGTGATTCCAGCTACTTCTAACATCCCTGAGAAGGTTGACGCGGCCTTTGTGGACAGGGCTGACATCTAGCAGCACATCAGGCCACCCTCTGAGACAGCCGTCTTCAAAATATACCTTTCTTGTTTGGAAGAACAGATCATATACCCCCATTAGCAGCTGTTGACCCTCTGAGAGCTGGAGATGATCGGATTCATTGAAAACAACATGTCAAAATTGAGCTTCCTTTTGAGGGAAATTTCAAAGAATTCAGACCTGAAGGCCTGAGCAACCAGGTCCTGAGGAAACTCCCTCTTTGGCTCACACACTGTATATCCAGGGGCACCCACCACCAGCATAGAGGGGTTCTACCAGGTCCTGCCTTTGGCACTGGATAAGCAGTTTGAAGAGAGAAAGAAGCTTCCAGCTTACAGTTGATCCTGGACTTCCCCATCCAGTACTTCCATCTAATGGAGAGCACACAGCAAGTGATGTTGCTTGTCTCACAGCGGATGCCACTCTGGAAATCCCCTCTGTAAAAATTTGCTTAGATCTACAAGCCAGAAACCCACAAAGCCAGGCTTTGTTAAAAGAAGTGTGTTATGGTAACATTATTTTTAAATGCATATTAGAAGACAAAAAGCTTGTCATTTTCATTGTTTTTAAAAGATAATTCAGGCCAGACATGGTAGCTCACGCCTATAATCCTAGCACTGTGGGAGGCTAAGGCAGGAGGATTGCTTGAGCTCAGGAGTTTGAGACCAACCTGAGCAAGAGCGAGACCCCATCTCTACTAAAAATAGAAAAGTAGCCAGGCATCGTGGCGTGCGCCAGCTACTGAGTCCCAGCTACGCAGGAGGCTGAAGCAGGAGGATCGCTTGTGCCCAGGAGTTTGAGGTTGCTGTGAGCTATGATGACGCCACTCCACTCTAGCCAGGGCAACAGAGTGAGACTCTGTCTCAAAAAAAAAGATAATTCAACTTTTGTTTGTCTCTTTGTAAAGAACTGTTTAAACATGTTTGTTCCCATCCTGCCTCCAGTTAATTAGACACATAATGCTAACAAGTTTTGTTTAAAAATAAAGGAAGATTCATATAGGTATTTTAGAAACAAAAGAGAAACCGTATCACCCTAAAGAAGCATGTAATTATAGCATTTAAAAATGTGCACATCACTCAAGCTAGAAGGCAGCAGTTGCTACCTAATATCAGCTTGTTTTATTAAGTGCAAATGTGCTTTGGAGACTATTTAATGACTAAGAAAAATTTATCTCTATGTTACATAAATTGAGAAAACAATTCTAGGTAAAGTGCTCTTTTATAATAATGAGACATGGTCCAATTTGCAGAAAGAACACAGACCCTCAATGTTTAAGTGAAATGTGTGCTGGACATCCCTTGTAACCCAGTGCAGGCACACGTGCATTGCATGGATATTTCTGCCCATTGTTTTATTTGTTCAATAACATTATTCATATCTCTAATGACGTTATTCACATCTCATTAATTGAATGTAAAACAAATGGGTCAATAATCGGTGTATCTCAAAGAATATTATTTTCTGCTTTTATCTCATACTAAAATAAATTTCATATTAATGCTTTGTAAAGACACGTGAGTGAGATTTTATTTAGAGATGCCAAGACTTCGTCAGTTCACAGTGCCCTTAATGTCTCAGTAATTTTTTTCACAGTACTCAAGGCCAAAAGAAATACTAACAGTTCTGTTTAATTAATAATTAGGTCCAACAACTTAATAAGTATTTATGTCCTAACAGTCCAGTAATTGTTTGAAAACATAATTACATATATTGAAAGAAAAAAATAATACTTCTTTCTTAAATAACTACAGTTACAAATCGAATGTGTGTACCTGTTGGGCACTGTACAGCTTTTCAAATCTCAGAAGTAGGCTGGGTACTTCCACCCTTGTTTTCTGTTCCACATTGATTTTTGCATGGTCCTCCCCCGTTCCCCAACTTTTTTGTTTTGAGCTACTTTTAGACTTATAGAAAAGTTGCAAAAAACATACAGGGAGTTTCCATATATCTCTCATTCTGCTTCTCTTAATGTTAAAATCTTACATGATTAATTATAGTGTAATTATCAGAACAAGAAATTAATGTTAGTACAATGTCATTAACTAAACCAAATGCCTATTTGAATTTTACCAGTTTTTCTACTGGTGTCCTTTTTCTGTTCCAAGATCCTACATTGTATTTGGTTGCTCTTTCTCCTTAGCCTCCTGCAGTCTGTAACGGGTTCTCAGTTGTTCCTTGTCTCTTATAACCTTGATACCTTTGAAAACTATTGATTACTTACTTGGTGTATATCCCTCAATTTGAGTTTGTCTTGTGTTTTCATGTGCTTAGATTTAGGCTATGCATTTTGGGCAAGAGTACCACAAAAATGATGTTGTGTCCTTCTCAGAATGTAATATCATGTGGTTCATGATATCAGTAACGTCTTATGACTGATGATGATGACTTTAATCACTTGGTTAAGGTAGTATGATACATTTCTCCACTGTAAAATCAGTATCTTTTCCTGTGGTGTTAGCAAATATAATATCTTGAGGAGCTTCACAAACCCTGTTTTTTTCTCAAACTTTAACCCATTGATTTTAGTACATATCACATACTAAATCTTGTCTATAACAGCTTTTATTGTGGAATTCTGCTGTAAGGAAAAACTGTTTCTTCTCTCTCTTTAATCAGTTATTCATATTAGTATAGATTCATGGATATCTATTCTATAGGTTACAATCCAATATTACTGTTATTTATTGTTCAAATTGTTTCATATTTAGCCATTAGGAGTTCCTCAGTTTGGTCCCTGAATTATTTCGACAAGCCCATATCTTTTTTGAGTACTTCCCAAGTGCCAGTAACCCACTTTGCAAAGATATAATCACATCTCAAGGAAGGTAGCATGATCTAATGGTGAAACTCAACTACTTCAAACTAGTAGTTTGTGCAGTTTGATAGACATGCCTGTTTCCCATGAAATTTAAGAAGGCCCTTGGTGCCCCTGTGAATTCAGTGCAATGCCCTATTACCTCATGCAGTTTGAGATACGCCAGCTTACATTTGTTTCTGAGGTTTCATTTAACAGTTCTAGTTTATATTTATAAGTGAGTTTGAGCAGGTGTTTTTCTCTTTGATTAAGACAGGTATTAGTAAAAGCATAGCTCATAGGAAATTTCTAAAAGAAAATCCCTATTTATATTAATATACTTCCAAAGTAATCTCATGGTTTACATTAAGATCCAGTGTTTTAGGTTACATGATTTTTAGTATTTGTTTTTAAGATCTAAATTTCTCTTCATTTAAAAATATTAAAAAGAAATACTTTTTAGTATTTCTATACTAAGGAATAGGAACTATACAATGATATTGCATGGAGGTGCATTTAGTAGTCATAGTACTTTAAATATGTAGTAGTTTATTTATAATTTATTTATAAATGAAAATTTTTGAGATTAATATTCTTGTCCTATTTCAATGTAGAATTGGTGGATCCAAATATTTTTATCCAACCTATCACAGAAGAACGTGCTTCTAGGACTTTGTATCGCATTGAACTTCTAAGGAAAGTACGGGAACAAGCCCTCCGACATCCACAGTTGTTCGAACGCTTGAAGCTTTGTCATCCAAATCCAGACTTACCAGTCTGGTGGGAATGTGGCCCTCATGATAGGGATTTGCTTATTGGTGCTGCCAAACACGGGGTGAGCCGAACAGACTATCACATTCTTCGTGATCCTGAACTCTCATTTATGGCAGCTCAAAGGAACTACAGTCAAAGTAAGATGGCTCATTCAAGGACTTCTACCCCACTTTTACAGCAATATCAAGTAGCACTTTCTGCTTCTCCTCTTACCTCTCTACCTAGGCTCCTTGATGCTAAAGGTATTATTCTAGAGGATATAAAAGTTAAAAGTGAAAACCTTAAAGAGGAGCCTCAGTCTTCTGAAGAAGAATCTATGTCTTCTGTGGAAACCAGGACACTAATAAAGTCTGAGCCTGTAAGTCCAAAGAATGGTGTTTTACCACAGGCTACTGGAGACCAGAAATCTGGTGGAAAAGGTGAAACAGACAGACGCATGGTTGCAGCCAGAACAGAACCCCTAACTCCAAACCCAGCGTCTAAGAAACAGAGAGTCCACAAAAGAGGATCAGAATCTAGTTCTGATTCTGACTCAGAATCTGAGAGATCATCCTGTTCTTCCAGATCATCTTCTTCCTCGTCGTCCTCCTCTTCTTGTTCCCATTCCCGATCAGGCTCTAGTTCTTCTTCATCCTCATCTTGTTCTTCAGCATCTTCTTCATCCTCATCCTCCTCTTCCTCCTCCTCATCATCCTCCTCATCTTCATCAGAAGAAAGTGACAGTGAAGAAGAAGAAGTCCAAAAGCGAGGTATATGCATAAAGTAATTTTGCTTTTTAAGACAACTTTTCAAGTAAAAATGAAAAGAACTTGATTCAGATAACTTAAACATGTTTAAAATTGTTAGCTTAAGTTCTGTGTGTACAGATTTTCTTAGGAAAGCACTAAGGAAGGAAACTAGAATTACTGGTACACACTCCCTTTTCAGTATTCAAGATATTACAAAATAGATTAATCAGACAGTTGAACTAGAAATTTTACACAATAGCTTTATTTCTTTATGATTGATTGCCTTAAGGTTAATATTATATTTTCCGCAGGAACAGGTTGACCAGTAAACAAATAAAAGATAATAATATATAGCGGTCACCAAGAATCTTAAACAGCCCAACAAGAATATCATAGATAGGCCATTTGTCAGCAATAACAAATGTTTGTCAGCAGAGTAGTGTTAGGTGGCCCCCTTCTGCAGCTGTTCTTGCAGTGGTCCAGCAAGCAGTTCAGCTGTCGGAAAATGAGTCAACATCAAGTATGTGTAGGAGCCACTCAGGCGTGCAGTGGCTCGTGCCCCACAGGAACCAGAATCTCTTATAACTTTCAGGGTTGCCATAAGGAACATGCCCAGTTCTAAGAGTCACCAGAGTCACCTCATTTAGAAAATTATAGTATCCCCATCATGTATTTGTAGTCTTCCCAGTCCAGGTGAAGTCTACCAATCAAGAGTCATTTTAAAAATAATGGGTGCTTCCTAGCACTCTGGGAGGCCAAGGCGGGCGGATTGTTTGAGCTCAGGAGTTTGAAACCAGCCTGAGCAAGAGCAAGACCCCGTCTCTACTAAAAATAGAAAGAAATTAATTGGACAACTAAAAATATATAGAAAAAATTAGCCGGGCATGGTGGCGCATGCCTGTAATCCCAGCTACTCGGGAGGGTGAGGCAGGAGGATTGCTTGAGCCCAGGAGTTTGAGGTTGCTGTGAGCTAGGCTGACGCCACGACACTCTAGCCCGGGCAACAGAGTGGGACTCTGTCTCAAAAAAAAATAATAATAAAATAATGGGTGCTTTATTGTATTCTCAGTGAGTTTTTTCCCTTTTTTGACCATTTGGTTTTACTGCTAACTTTTTCATTTTCAGATATTTCTGAATACTTGAATAAGATTTTTAAAGTATACATAGAGTTGTTTTATGTAGTCTTTTTAAAGTGGTTATAATTGTTCTTAGCAGAAGGTACCCCCCACGTGAAAGCCTATGACGAAGAAAGCGTTGCGTCCCTGAGCACCACCCAGGACGAGACTCAGGATAGTTTTCAGATGAACAACGGGACACCAGAGTCCGCTTGTATCTTACAAGGCGGATACATGCTGGCAGCCTCGTATTGGCCAAAGGTAAAGGAGTAATTTCTTGTTGAGATAGGTCATTTTTCAGTACTTTTCTATGTCACTTTAATGGTAGATATTCTTATTATATAGAAAAATAGGCCAGTGTAAAATGTAGGATGACATTTGGTGTTGTTAACATCAAAAGTATAAATTATTATTATCAAGTAAATTAGTTCTACTTAAATGTGTATGCTTCTCAACATAACCTTAAAATGTTTAGAATGAGAGAGAACTGTTATATTCCAGTTAATATTAAAGTGCCTGCTTATGAAATAGGTGCTTTCAACTGAGTCTCCTTGAAGAAATTTACTGTAGCCAGTGGTGACCTGGGGAAAAAATTCATTCAGTGGCAGAAGCTAAGATTGGATTAATACAGTTTTTCTATTATGCGACTAGGCTAGTGCAGGAATATTTAACCTTTAGGAATGAGGTTGGGAAATGGGGAAATGGAGGATACTCTTTTATATACTTCTAAGTTGTTTGAGATTTTTATAAGGAACTGTATTTTGTAATTATAAAAAGAATAGAAAACTATCTTTATGGTATAATATTTTTGAATTTCATCGAAGGGAATTTGTAGTTGAATAACTTCTTACAGAATTGTAATATGTATGTGAGAATATGTATGCTTGCTACATGCACATATGTTGGGGTGTAAACTCTTGATGGAGGGTTAAATCCATCAAGGTTCTTGGGCTGTTTGATCTCCAAAGGTCTGGCCTACTTATTAAAATTATACTTGGATGTTGCACGCTTTTCCAGGATCGTGTGATGATCAATCGGTTGGACAGTATTTGTCAAACAGTTCTGAAAGGAAAGTGGCCTTCAGCTAGAAGAAGTTACGATGCTAACACAGTGGCTTCTTTCTATACCACAAAACTGCTGGACAGTCCTGGAGCAGCTACAGAATACAGTGAGCCCAGTGTACCCACTCCCCCAGGTGCCAGTGTTAAAGAAGAGCATGATCAGTCGACACAGATGTCAAAGGTGAAGAAGCATGTACGAGAAAAGGAGTTTACAGTGAAAATCAAAGACGTATGTGTATTTTTATTGCCCTAGGGCCTGATTGCGATTGCGGTGTGCAGCATGCTTTTCCTGCAAATGGCTGCCTGCTCTTACTCTTCTTCCTTCACGTACTTGTTTCCTGGTATTTGGATTGTTTTCTTTCTGATATCCAGGTTATTAAACTTGAATATTCTACTAGAGGGACCATCATTAAATATTTTTCTCTCCTTATGCTTCTGAAATAGTTCTTCTGATCAAGATGTTTTCTTAAACAGTGTGACAATTTCTAACTACTTGGTTCTTTTATATAATGTTTAAATGGTATGTCAGTATACTTTATGTTTTAAACATTTAGCATGTCCTATTATCAATAATGTTTAATTTTTTAAATTATTTTTGAAGCTTAATTGATTATTCACGGTCTAAAATATGGGTATTGTCCTCCAAAATGTCACATGCATAATGTACATAGAGATGTATGTCTAAATCTGAAAATGTTACAATGTACTTGTCATATGAAAAACTTTGTTTTGCTCAGAAAAGTGTATAGAGTACCTGTATTTTTTCATCTAAGATAGAAAATTTAGTATTCATTATTGAAATGGATTAAAATGTTTTATTCAGTCGAATTATGAATGAGAAGAGAATTTCATTAATGTATGAAGGGTTTTACTTCATTTTTTTCTAAGTAAAATAATTCTTTTAATATCCTGCAATAAGATTTTTGTTAACAGCTTCTGTCTTAATAATGGTATTTGTTTAACAGGAAGGTGGTTTGAAGTTGACCTTTCAAAAGCAAGGGCCTGCTCAGAAAAGACCATTGGATAGTGAAGATGGTGCCATGGGGCAGCAGCAATACCTCACTCGACTTCGGGAGCTTCAAAGTGCGTCCGAGTCCAGCCTCGCCAATTTTCCAAAATCTATGCCAGTATCAGGTGAATATGCAAATAATAACTGTCTTACTACGAAATATTCCCTGTCATTTCTAAATCTTTTATAAACTCTTGTAGTAAAAATTCATTTTTCCTTTAATGTCGGGACCTCTCTTAAGTCTGTAAAATAATCAATGTAATTTTAAATCTTAATAAGTATTTATTGGAACTTTTAATGTAACATTTTAAAGCACAGAGGGAAGTTAGTTTTGGGGGCTTGAATAGTGTGGAAGCATCATTTTATCAAGTTGCTCTATACAGATGAAAGCTCAAACAGAATTTCAGTAGGAAAGTATATTATGAATTTTAAAACAAAAAGTTAAATCACTGGCCAGGCACTGTGGCTCATGCCTGTAATCCCGGCACTTTGGGAAGCTGAGATGGGAAGACTGCTTGAAGCCAGGTGTTTAGGACCAGCCCAGGAAACATAGCGAGACCCTATCTCTACAAAAAATGTAAAAATTAGCTAGGCATGGTGGCACGCACCTGTATTCCCAGCTACTCAGGAGGCTGAGGTGGGAGGATCGCTTGAGCCTGGGAATCAAAAGTTGCAGTGGGATGTGACCAAGCCACTGCACTCCAGCCTGGGTGACAGAGCAAACCCCTGTCTCAAAAAATAAATAAATCACAAATTAATGGTGATAGGTAGAAGTAATTAAAATGAGAAGTTTTAGAAAGACTTAGAGATTGTATAGTCCATGCATCTACAGGATACAGAAATTATTTATGACTTGATCCCTAAAAAGAAGTGATCTTTCATCTTCGTGCATGAACTTACATCTTCGTACTTGCATGAACAACGTTCTTACTGCCATAAACAATCCTTCTTATTGTTGGACAGCTCTAATTGTCAGAAAATACCTTCTTATTTGAAAGTAAAGTTTGCCTGCTATAGGTTCTTCTCAATGGTTGAAGTTCTGTCTTTAACAGCAGCACGTGATTAACTTGGTCCTATGTCTACATGATACATCTTAACATTTTGAAAGCAATCATTAGATCTCCCCTTCAGACTATCTCTATTTCTTCTAAGCTTTTGATAATTTCAATCAGCTAATATTTATTAAATACCTTATTGGTGCCATGTATTATGTGCTCTGTAGGCATTGAGGAATACATTAGACATTGCTTTTGTTTTATCTTGGCCTAATTGTATTTTTATTTGTCTACATCTTTCTTTAAGTATGATGTCAAGAATTGAGAATGATACTCAAGATCATCTGAGTCTTAATGTGTAGAACACAGCATACTAATTCCCAAAAATGCTTGTCAATTAAAGCAGACGAATGACTTGAATTTCTATTATACCTTCCTTATGCATAAGGATAAGGACTCTATTTCACTACTCTATTAAGTCTGGTTGCAATACAATACTTGGAAACATTTCAAAACTCGTGTGCATGTACACAGCGTATGGAATTCCTACAATTTGGGAAAATAATGCTATATTATAAGTGGTGTCTTCAATTGATCACTATTTCCAAATGCTGCTATTACCACTTTTAATTACAAATTTAGTTCAGCTTCATCAGCATCTCTTTGATCTTTTGTGCATCCATTAACCATTCAGTATAATTTTCCAATTACTAGACTTTCAGACATGTATGAAATGCAGTTCAAATATGAATCAACTATACTGCTTTACTAAAGCATAAATCCCCTAAGCTATGCTTTATAATTATAGTTTTATTATTAAGGAGCTCTTTCTCTTCACCAGAAAATGGGAACAGACAGGGAAGATAAGCTGTGGGCTCTTTTTCCCAACCTAAGTGGCACTTAATAATAATAATCCTACTACTCTTACTCTTAGAACTCCACTGTAAAGTGAGATTGATACTTCTATCATCTGAACATTTTGTTGCTATTACAGCTGAAGATTGTACACCCTTCGCCTATAAGTAATTCTTTGGTAAATAATACTGTTTTAAGTAATTTCAGTAGCAATTGTAACACAAATTCTGCAACTATACAAAATATTTAAAATCTCAAATATTCATATTAGATAGCATTATTATCTAAGCATTTTATCTTCTCCATCTTAATTACCGCAAATATGAAATCTGGATCTGTCTTCATACATGACTTTTGGGAAATCCGTTAACATTTTTGAGCCTTACTTTTCTTGTTTGTGAAATCAGGGGTGTGGGGAAAGAGAGAGGTGACATTGCTGGGTAGATTAAATAAAATAACATATATAAAGTGGCTCATAAAGTGCTTGGCACGCACGGAGTTAGATGCTAAACAGATGTTAAAATTAGGTACTCACAGATTGTAGAATTGGATACTTAACAGATACTGTTATTGAAATCGTTCATTTTCCTAAAGTTACACCTTTTTTATTCTTGTATAATTACCGCCTGAATTTTATCTGAAAGCCTTGAGTAAAGATACCAGGTGTAATGTAATTTACTAATGAATGAGAGTGAAATAGCATAGATTATAACAAGAGGACAAAACTGAAGACCCATTCCAGAAACTACCTGGAATAGTGGATAAAGAATGGCAGAGCCAAGCAACGTGGGGTTGAACTGTCATTTTCTAGCTGTTGTAACATTTAGCAAGTGCCTTAATGTTTCTGAACTCATTTGTAAAATGGGCTTAATAATACATCTATGTTTTTGTTCTGTTTTTGATGATTTGAGGTAGCATTTGTAAAACTTAGTCCAGTATCTAGCACTTAGTAGGTATTCAAGAGAAGCTATTTTTAAGGTTATTATAGTTACATCTAAGATAATGACAATACAGACTTGATAAAGTAAAGTTAAATTTTTCATTTTGGATTCTGGCCTAAAATGAATTGGTAATGCTTATTACAGTCACCCTCAGAAATAAGTCAGGTTAGTGTATAATTAAAGCAAAGAATTGGCCAAATAGGATATGTTTGTAAATGTACGCTTTGGACCGGGCATGGTGGCTCATGCCTGTAATCCCAGCTATTGCGGAGGCAGGAGGATCACGTGAGGCCCAGGGTTTGAAACCAGCCTGGGCAACATAGCGAGAGTTCATATCTAAAATTTAAAAAAATGGGCAGGCGCGGTGGCTCACGCCTGTAATCCTAGCTCTCTGGGAGGCCGAGGCAGGCAGATTGTTTGAGCTCAGGAGTTCGAAACCAGCCTGAGCAAGAGCGAGACCCCGTCTCTACTAAAATTAGAAAGAAATTAATCGGACAACTAAAAATACATAGAAAAAATTAGCCGGGCATGGTGGCTCATGCCTGTAGTCCCAGCTACTCAGGAGGCTGAGGCAGAAGGATTGCTTGAGCCCAGGAGTTTGAGGTTGCTGTGAGCTAGGATGACGCCACGGCACTCTAACCCAGGCAACACGGTGAGACTCTGTCTCAAAAAAAGAAAAAAATAAAAAATAAATAAAATTTAAAAATGTACACTTCAGTAAGAATTCCATAGATAATTATATTAAATACTTCCCTTTTTTTAGATAGCACAGAGATGGCATTAAAGGGAAAGTAAAAGAAATGTAAGACACTGTCTGCCTTTCAGATGCTTGGTAGACTAGACTTACACATTAAAATATTAGTTAATACATTAAAAAGATAATATATTTTGCTACACGGAACATTATAGTTAACAAATGTTAGAAAAGAGGAAAGTCACTACTGTCTAGACACTTAGCCAAAGTCCTGTGGAAGAGATGTAATTGAATTTGATAAGGATTTGATAGGAGGAAGATTAAATAGTTGCCTTTCTGGAAAATCGGGTTGGTCTCAGGGCTGGAAGGTAGGCAAGGAAGAGCATGAACTAGAGACTAGGTGTCAGGAAAATTGTATTGTTTTGTGGTAAGACTGACCTAGCTCGTATGTAAATTTTTGCTGGAGAGAAAGCGTGTTGAAGATCAGATCTTGCTTAGAATCTAAGTTAGGAAAAGCATCAAAAACAGATCTAGGGCAGGGTTGAGGGTTAGCGATCATGTAAGAATAGAGCTGATGCAAGGCAGTTCGTTCATATCTGGAATAGGAAGCCATGAGAAGTTCTTATGAAAAGGAATGGTGCTTTTTAAAGTGGTGTTTTAGGAAAGTTATTGTTATTATAGCTAAAATGTGCTGTAGCAGCGATTACCAACTTTTTTGGCACCAAGGACCAGTTTCCTGGAAGACAGTTTTTCCAGTGGGGCTGGGGGTGGTTTGGAGATGATTCAAGCACTTTACGTTTACTGTGCACTTTATTTCTATTATTATTGCATTGTAATACATAATGAAATAATTATACAACTCACCATATGGCAGAATCAGTGGGAGCCCTGAGCTTGTTTTCCTGCAACTAGTCCTATCGGGGGGTGATGGGAGACAGCGACACCTGAAGTGTGTTGCTTATGTCCAGTCCACTCTGTAACCTCCTTTGGTTGCTGTCACAGCAGAAACCCTGCTTCACAAAGACAGGATGCTGGAAATGGAAGCAGGTTTTTCAGTGCTTTTGTGGCAATCTCAGGATATTCTTCCTTGACTTTAATCCAGAACGTATGGAGATCTGAAGTTGTCTCCAACATACTTTTAAGGTCACCGTCATTTGTGATCTCAAGCAGTTGATCCTCTTCTAGCAGGGACAAAGTTGATTCACTTGGCTTATTCACAAATGGGTTGCAGATCCGTTCCTTCCCAGTTCAGGGGCCTTTGTGATAGTGAAGTAATGCTCAAACTCTTTTAAAAGGTGAGATCGGTGATCGTGTACCAGCTGGGAGAAAGAAAGCCCTGGCTCAGCCTCTTTCAGAATCTCTAATGTTGGAAACATGTCAAAAATCCCAATGTTCACTTGTCACCCCCATAATTCCAGTTTGACTTTGAATGCAGCCACTTTATCTGCCGATTTGAACACAGTTGTCATTCTCCCCTGAAGTGACAGATTGAGTTTGTTGAGCAGGTTGAATATGTCACACAAGTAAGCAAGTTTTGCAACCCATTCTGTGTCACTGAAATGTGCTGCCAGTGGTGACTGTTTTTCTAAAAGAAATCTCTGGAGTGGCTCTCGTAACTCAAAAACTCTGGCCAGTGACCTACCTTTAGAAAGCCATCTCGCTTCTGTGTGTAAGAGTAGATGTGTGTGTTCTGTGTCCAGCTCCTCAGGGAGCTATGTGAACAGACATAAATTAAGGGCATGTACTTCAATGTAGCTGATAATGTGAATCACATCCTGCAAAACGTTGTTTAGTTCAGGTGACATTTTTCGGCTAGCCTGCATTTCTCTATGGATGGTACAGTGCGTAGACTCACATTCAGAAGCGACCTCCTTGACCCAAGTAGTGAAACCAGAAAGCCGTCCAGTCATGGTAGCGGCTCCATCTGCGCATATATCGACACAAAAGGACCCATTCAGTTTTCCTGACACGTAATCATTCAAAGACCTGAATAGTTCTGCAGGTGTGGTACTGGTTGGCAACAAAAGTGCACATACCCTCACGCACATCCTCCTGAAAAATATATTGCACAAAAACAAGCTTTGTGGCCTTGTCAACAGTGGTAGACTCATCTGCCTGTATTGTGTACCAGGGTGACTCATTAATCCTCTCTAACAACTGTGCCTCGGTATCCTCTATTTCATGAAGTTATGGTGCTGGCCGAAAGGGGAACACATGCCACCTTTAAATTGTACCCTTTCCTAAAAGTTCACGGCCAATGTCCTTAGCAGCAGGCAGGATCAACTCTTCACCAACAGTAAACGGCTTCTTAGCTTTAGCAATGCGGTTGGCCACTGAGAATGATGCTCTCAGTGCAGACATATTTGATGAAGTGGTGGCCTTCAGTAATTGCTTCTGTTCTTCATGTTCATGTTTTTGTCTTTCGAAAAACTCCCAAGGCTTTTCTTTTAATGCAGGGTGCTTGGTCTCCATGTGGTAAAGCAGTTTTAAAGTTTTCATGGCTTTGTTGGATAGCCGGTCGCCACATATACAAAGTGGGCTTGGAGAATGTGAATTACCTGTTGCAATTAACCCGTAATTTAAGTAGGATTCTTGATATTTTCTTTTAAATGTAGCTTTCATTTAACAAAATCTTCTGTAAGCAGAAGTCTTAAAGTCTTCTGCTGTCTCATCATTGGGTCAAAGAAGCTCTCCAGCAACATTTGTTTTTTACTCATTTTTGCTAGGGTTAGCTTATGGGCTCACCAAAACTGTGACTGAGACAAGTGTGCAGTGTGGGAAAAAGGTGCAGACGGAAGTGGTAAATAAAATAATGGGCGGGCCACACACAGACTAAATAAGTGTCGGATTCTGACTTAAAGCCTGCCACCAGATGCAGCTTGTCACTGGCCACTCACTGATAGGGTTTTGATGTGAGTCTGCAAGCAATTGATTTGTTATGGTCTCTGTGCAGTCAAACCTCTCTGCTAATGATAATCTGTATTTGCTGCCATTCCCCAGCGCTAGCATCACTGCCTCAGCTCCCCCTCAGATCATCAGGCATCAGATTCTCATAAGGAGCCGCAACCCAGATCCCTTGCATGTTTAGGGTTGGCGTTCCTGTGATAATCTAATGCTGCTGACGATCTGACGGAAGGTGGAGCTCAGCCAGTGATGGGAGTGATGGGGAGCAGCTGTAAATACAGGTGAAGCTTCACTCACTTGCCCACCGCTCACCTCCTGTGCTCACCTCCTGTGTGGCCTGGTTCCTAACAGGCCACAGACCAGTACCAGTCTGTGACCCAAGGGTTGGGTCCGCAGATTTAAAGTATACAGAAGGATGTACATATATTATATGCAAATACTATACCATTTTATAGAAAGGACTTAAGCATCTTTGGATTTTGGTATCCGTGGGGTTCCTGGAACCAATCCCCTGTGCATAGCAACAAACAACTGTATAGTGTTCAGATTTATATATCAACATGAATAAAAGTTTAAAATGTGCATGGAACTGAAAAATACCTAATTCAGGATAGTACTAACCACAGAGAAGAAGAAAGTAGAATAGAGGATAGGGGTACACAGTGACTTTCAGGTATATCTTTTTTCTCCTAGTGGTTTCTTTTCCATTTATTTTTCTTTGACGTGTGCGGGTTTGTTTTTTTTTTTAATTTTTTTTATAACTTTTTGTTTTGAGATAATTATAGATTCACAGGAAGATACAAAAAATATACAGGAAAGTCCCATGTGCCCCCTACCCCAACCACCTGCCTCCACCAGCATCTCATACAACCACAGTATAATATCAAAAAATATCTGTGATATTTTGTTAATCTGATTATAATAAAATTCATTATATGAATATAATAAAATCTTCTCTTTTTCCATAGTGTTATGTCCCATTCCTGTAGTACTTTCATATATGCAAAAATGGTTTTTAATTATTGTAATTAGTTTTTCCTTACCATGTGTATTAAAACAATCTTTTGAAACTAAGATGTGAGTAAGGTAAATGACTTCCACATGGTTACACAGCCAGCCAAAGGACAACACCTTACTCAGGTATAAACAGGACTTGCTCAATAAATTCTCCTTGAATGATTGAAGATGAGTCCCTCATTACAAGCACGTATAACAAGAATCTCACCCTTAATAATATTTTCTTCTAATAAAAGAATTCAAGATTATGTACTCTTTGAGGAAAGGAACAGTGTCTTATCTGTCTTTGAACCATCATACTGCCTAGTACATAGGTACTTAAAAAATATTTATTTATCAGGAAGAAGGATGAATGTGTGGAGCTGTTTCATTCATACTTCCTATAAACATTTTTATTGAATGCCTACAGACATGTGAAGGGTGTTTTTGACAACTAAAAAGTTATTGGTAACCTTAAGGAAAATACCTTAAATAGGCCGGGGCAGGAATGGACTATGGGAAATTGAGAAATGAGTTGCTTGTGAAAAAAAGGAACATAGTAGAGAACAATCTTTCAAAATGTGGGGGTTATATTGGCCGGGCGCGGTGGCTCACGCCTGTAATCCTAGCACTCTGGGAGGCCGAGACGGGCGGATTGTTTGAGCTGAGGAGTTCGAATCCAGCCTGAGCAAGAGCGAGACCCCGTCTCTACCAAAAATAGAAAATAAATTAATCGGCCAACTAAAAATATACAGAAAAAATAAGCCGGGCATGGTGGCGCATGCCTGTAGTCCCAGCTACTCGGGAGGCTGAGGCAGAAGGATTGCTTGAGCCCAGGAGTGTGAGGTTGCTGTGAGCTAGGCTGACGCCATGGCACTCACTCTAGCCCGGGGAAAGAGTGAGACTCTGTCTCAAAAAAAAAAAAAAATGTGGGGGTTATAAAAAGGTCAATGAGGTTTTTTTAGGTTTTCATTGGGACAGAGCTCTGTCACCTGGGCTGCAGTGCAGTGGCATCATCATAGGTCACAGCAACCTGAAACTCCTGGGTGCAAGTGATCCTCCTGCCTCAGCCTCCCAAGTAGCTGGGACTACAGGCCCGCCACCACCACATCTGACTAATTTTTTCTATTTTTTAATAGAGATGGGGTCCAGCTCTTGCTCAGGCTGGTCTCAAACTCCTGACCTCAAATGATCCTCCTATCTCATACCCTCAGAATGCTAGGATTACAGATGTGAGCCACCATGCCCAGCCGAAGTTTATTTTTTGTTTGAGTTAGGCCGTATCTTTACATTTGGAAGAAGAATCTAATGTAGAAAAAAGATACTTTGGCACAAGAAAAGCAGAGATAAATATTAAAAGCAAGCTTTTAGAAAATGTAGGAATTAATGGGTTCAAAGAAGGGGGAAAGGTTTGTCTTGGACCAGAGAGATTCATGCTTTTTCCTCTAAAAGATGAAGGAAAAGAAGGTGTGTGAATATCATGGGAAAGAAATTTAGAAGACAAGTCAAAAGTTGAAAGAGGCCTAGATTACAGTTCTTCAAGTTTTTAAATGAGAGGTGGGGGCGATGTTTTTAATTTGAGAATTGCTTGATTAAACATATATAAAATAAGAACTAGATTTACATCACTGTTTTTGCATTTTAATTTGATAGGTACTTCCGTTCAATCAACCCTTGGTGCCAATGGGGTGATACTAGACAACCAGCCTATAGTCAAAAAAAGGCGAGGAAGGAGGAAGAATGTAGAAGGTGTTGACATCCTCTTTTTTAACAAAAATAAACCACCTAATCATGTAAGTAAAGCAGTATTTAAAAACTACTGATCCTTGGGTCCAAAATTCAGTCCTAGTAAATACACATATTGCTCTTTGTGAATGTTTAGTATTGATAGAATAAAAATAACAAGGAAATTAGAAGTGTATGGTTTTCTGTTGTATCTCAGCAGATTCCAACACTGGCCAAGATTCATGAAAATTTTAAGTTTAAAAGATTTAGCAGAATTTTAAGCAACAATTTCTTTTTTTCTCTTCAAAAAGAATTGTTCCATTGAACCAAAATTAGAATGATAAAGCATGGAAATAAAAATTTCATTTGGTGTTTTTCTACAGGTTACTTTAGGCTTAACCACCTCGCAGATTTCCACAGGGATAAATCCAGCACTATCCTACACTCAACCTCAAGGAATTCCTGATACCGAAAGTCCAGTTCCAGTTATTAATCTTAAAGATGGGACAAGACTTGCAGGAGATGACGCACCGAAGAGAAAGGATTTGGAAAAATGGCTTAAGGAGCACCCAGGTTATGTGGAAGATTTAGGAGCTTTTATTCCTGTAGGTGATACCTTAAAAATCTTGGTATATTTTATTTCTATGATTTATCAGACTTACAATGATGAAGCATAAATTCTCATCCCCTTATGCTAAATATGTTTTCTGCTTAAGATTTAGGAAAATTAGAAAAAATAATTACTGTCTTTCCTATGATATCATAGAGTATCATTTTCCATTTTTTCATTGTCCATTCAACAACTATTTAATAATAAAAATCACTCTGATATAGAGTACTATGTTAGACTCAAAGAAGGTTGCAAAGGTATAAAACTTCTAATCCTTTCTCTCAAGGAATTTATTTGAAAATAATAACGATCATAGTAAGCATTTACTGAAACTTAACTACATGCCTGCCATTATACTTAGCACTTAACATACATTAACACTCACAACAACTTTATTACTTACTAGGATAGCATTGTTATAACTATTTTATAAACAAAGAAATTAAAACACTGAATTTTTAAGTAAATACTCCAAGTCTGCAAAGCAAATAAAATATTAAATCCAGAGTCCAAACTAGTACTGTTAAGCTTTCCTTCAAGCTATAAGAGTACCCCTCCTATGCCTCTCCCAACGCACAAGTTTACACTAATCAAAGATGAGAATCATTGTATTTTATTTGCATTCTCCTTATCCTCTGAAATACTATCTTATGGGCATATGGCTTTTTCACTCATGGAAATCTGTTATTTGATTTTCCAGTACCTTACTATCAGATGCTAATATGAAACTTTGAGTCAGTATCACTTACTTTATAAGGTGTAAAAGAGTAAAAAACATCCCCCGCACAATGAAGTTAGCAGGCCTGTTCTATCTGCCTCCATTATGAAGATTAAATGGGTAACCCAAGTGAAGCTGTCTGCTACCCTATGGGCTTCTTAAGGACTATGTCTTACTGACCTTTGTAGCCCCAGAACTAAGCACATAATTCCTTGTACATAGAATAGTATCCAGCTCCCTGAACACATTTATTGAATCTATGGTTTTAAAATGAAAATCTTTTTCTTTCTTGTTTTTTCTTTTAATTGAGACCGGGTCTCACTCTGTCACCCAGGCTAGAGTGTAGTGGCAAGATCATGGCTCACTGCAGCCTTCAACTCCTAGGCTCACGTAATCCTCCCATCACAGCCTTCTAAGTAGCTGGGACTACAGGCACACAACACCATGCCTGGCTAGTTTTTCTGTTTTTTGTAGAGACGGAGTTTCACTCTTGTTCAGGTTGGTCTCAATTTCCTGGCCTCAAGCAATCCTCCCTCCTTGGCCTCCCAAAGTGCTAGGATTACAGGCGTGAGCCACCACGCCTGGCCAATGAAAATCTTTTGAAAACTAAAAAGTGCTATATAAAGGTAAAGTGATTATTTATTAACAGAAAAAAAATTAATTGCCTTATTTTTTTCATGAAAAGGAAATACAAAACCTCTAGTCCCAGAATGGTCTTTGTATCTGTGATATATTAATATATTTAGGTCCAGTATTTTATACTGCTATTGTTATCACCAGGAAACAACCTGGTAGTCTAAAACAGAGAGCCTGAGTCTTGGCTTTTAGTTGCCCTTCATATTCTTAGATTACTCAAAGGATGCCACAAATTCTCAAGCTTTTATTTAATTCCTTTTGATTAAAAAAGAAAATGGGCAAGGCATGGTGGCTCAGGCCTGTAATCCTAGCACTTTGGGAGGCTGAGGCAGAAGGATCCCTTCAGCTCAGGAGTTGAAGGCTTCAGTGAGCTATGATTGTCACTGCACTCCAGTCTAGGTGACAGCAAGACCTCATCTCAAAAAATAAAATAAAATTTAAAAAATAAATGCCAAGTAATTCTCTTATGAGGGAAGAGGTATTCACTAAATATAATGGGCAGTCACAGAACAAATACTTCAGTTCTAAAATAATGAGAATCATTAGTTTAACACTGTAATTTAACGTGTTAGAAAATAACATTCATTTACCTAGTCAACATTTATTGTATCACTACTATGTACTATTACCATTTTAAGGGATTGAGGATGTAACAGTAAACAATATGAAGTTCTTGCCCTCATGGCACTTATACCGTAGGCTTGGAAGGATTCTCATACCTTTCTCTTTTTAACTGCAAAAGAGTCTTTATTAACTTTTTAAATTTTTATATCCATTCATCATTTTCACTTCAAATAACCTTTTATCATAATGTTTTGTATAACTTTGTTATAAGATTTAAAAACCCTATTTTTAAAGGGCAGTATTTGTGCCATCTACTAAAGAATATATAATTTTTCTGCTTTCCCAATAATATTTTACATTAATGATTTCTTGGATCTCACACTCTATTGTCATATCTCTGGAGCTAAATTATAACATGGTGTAGAATATACTATAATAGAGTTATGTATAAAATGTCATGGGAACAGATGTAAGAACAATTAACACTGCTTAAGCAGAGTAAAATATCTGAGGAAAGAAAGATAGAAAATAGAGCTGACATTTTACTAGTGGATGAAAAAAGAGGGCATTGACCAGGCTAACACAAGAGAAGGATATTCTAGGCATTATAGAAGAATCATGTAGTTAATCATGATTTTCCTAGAAGAAATAAATATTTAAAAAAAAAAGAATTATGAAGAAAGTTAAAAGAGAATATAACTATAAGGCATATTCATAAAATGGAATAAATCTGGCATTCCAGATAATGTGGAGGAATGAGTGGGTAAGAGTAAATCAATAGAAAAGGTGAGCTGGATAGGTTCGGGCTGTGGCAGGATGGTTATGTCATATTGAAGAGTTTCTCGAAATGTTCTGATTGGTTGAAAATAGCTACAAACATCAAGCACTGCTTTCTTAACAGTTGTACAGATTAGTAGCGTGGTTTGTTGGAAAGAGTGTTTGTTTGCCAGTCACAAATTCTTAATCTGGCTCTGCAGTGTGTTAGCTGTATGACCTTGAGGAAGATAACCAATCTGAGCCTTGATTCCCCATTTGTAAATAAGAATAATACCTTTTAGTATTGTGAGGATTACATGGGAAAAGATGACAAAAACACTTAGTGAGATGAAGAGAAGTGAAAGCCACTAGAATAAATTATAAATTGTCACAGCACAGTGAAAGTCTTATACGTGGATAAAGAAAATGTGGTATATACATACCGTGGAATACTCCTCAGCCTTGGAAAGGAATTAAATAATGTCTTTTGCAGCAACTTAGATGGAACTGGAGGCCATTATCCTAAGTGAAATAACCCAGGAGCAAAAATCCAAACACCACATGTTCTCACTTACAAGTGGGAGCTAAACAGTGGGTGTGCATGGTCATCAAAGTGATGTAATGGACACTGGAGACTCAGAAGGGGGAGAGTGGGAGGGGTGCAGGATAAAAAATTACCTACTGGAGAAACTTATCAGAAGAGAAAGAACTATCCAATAAGTAAAGAAACTTGCCAGAAGAGAAAGTAAAGAAATGGCTCCAACATCATTGATAACCCCTTCAGGTATCACTCTAGGAATGTGATGGTCTTTTAAGGAAAAAAACTAACAAAGTCTTGCTCATCAGGAGCCAATGGAAGGACCCTACTCTCATATAGAGCCATCATTGTGATGGCCTTGAAAAATTTTTTAAATGCATAATTTGAAGAAAAGATTTATGCAATACTTCTTATTAAAATATTTAAAGTTTAAATATTTTTTTAAATTTTAATAGATTTAGCAGGTTCAAATGGATTTTTGTTACGTGGATGAATTGTATAGTGGAGAAGTCTAGGCTTTTAGTGTACCTGTCACCTGAGTAGTGTACGTTGTACCCAGTAGGTAATTTTTCATCTTGTACCCCCTTCCACTCTCCCCCTTCTGAGTCTCCAGTGTCCATTATGTCTCTTTGTATGACCATGCACACCCACTGCTTAGCTCCCACTTATAACCAAACACGCGGTGTTTGGTTTTTTGTTCCTGGGTTATTTCACTTAGGATAATGGCCTCCAGTTCCATCCAAGTTGCTGCAAAAGACATTATTTAATTCCTTTCCAAGGCTGAGTAGTATTCCGTGGTGTGTATATACCACATTTTCTTTATCCACTTATCTCAGTCAATGGGCCCTTAGATTGGCTCCACATCTTTGCAATTGTGAATTGCACTGCGATGAACATTTGAGTGCACATGTCCTTTTTATAAAACGACTTCTCCTTTGAGTAAGTCCCCAGTAGTGAGATGTTTGCTGGATTGAATGGTAGATCTACTTTTAGTTCTTTGAGAAATCTCCGTACTGTTTTCCATAGAGGTTGTATTTACATTCCCACCAACAGTGTATAAGCATTCTCTTTTTACTGCATCCTTGCCAACAGCTATTGCTTTTTTACTTTTTAATAATGGCCATTGTGATGGGGTAAAGGGGTATCTCATTATGGTTTTGATTTGCATTTCCCTGATGATTAGTGATACTGAGCATTTTTTCATGATTTTTGGCCATTTTTTCCTCTTCTTTTGAAAAGTATTCGTGTCTTTTGCCCACTTTTTAATAGAGTTGTTTTTTTCTTGATTTGTTTGAGTTCCTTATAGATTCTGGATATGAGTCCTTTGTCAGATATGTAGCTTGTGAATATTTTCTCCCATTCTGTAGGTTGCCTGTTTACTGTTTTG